ACCTTGGGTTGGGATCAAGTTGGAGACGGAGCCTGTAATTTGGGAAGTCTGATGTACTTAATTCTCTTCGCCTTATGATACGACAGAAGAGATCCATACACCTTGCAGGAGAAAATGATCATTGTTCTTCTAACCGAAACCCTCTAAAGAAGAGATTCCACATACAGGGCTGTAGTAGTAGCGTGAGGGATAGGACCCCATGAGGCACAGTTTTCCAAACGTATCAGGCAATCTCAGCCCACTAGCTCTTGCAGGACCCAGAAAAAAAAGAACAGTCCTGAACTGGTGCTCTGCATAACAACAAAGTCATCTCTATTTAATAGACAAGGGTGCAGAATACAGAGTTTAGGACTGCTGTGGTCATCTCAAGAACCACTCTAAATGCTCACAGACTGGAAGTGTGCTGACACAGCACTACTGGCAATTAACTGACTGTGGATTACCACCCTTGCTGTTTCTTTCCCAACCCAATCTGCTTTTGCATCCTGTGATTTCACTGTGCCCTCATGTCAGTGGTTTAGCAGATCTTTGCTTGGTGTTCTTTGATGAATGCAGTCAAACCTGGTGTGCTTCAGACCTCTTTTCTCATGCTGGTACAGCTGTTGAACTGGGATGCCTGCCTAGTGTGAAGACTTGTAGTTAGGTGATCTTCTGGCACGTTAGGTAAGCCAGAAAGAAAAGCTCAGAAATTACATTTTACCACACGACACTACTCTGGAGATGTGAGACATGGCTGGGCTTCCAGGCACACAGTACAGAGCCCTGTCACATGAGCCAGAGGAGTAATCTGCTAGCAGAAAACACTTCCTTTCTGAAAATCTAAACCCAAGTAGATGGGACACATTTTCCCAAAGGACTCTGTAGCTATTGGCTGTTCTGCAGAGTAATGCTGAGAATAAATTAAATTCTCTTCTGGATTTTGGAGACAGAGGTGGTTGCATAAAGAATAGCCAAGTTATCTGGTAGTCTCCTAGAACACTAGAGAAGTATGTCACAGGCAGTGCCCTTCTCTCTCTTCCCCAGATTTGTCCCTTCCTCTTGATTCTTCTATACCCCTGAAGCCCTGTCATCCCAAGATGTCTCTGCCTCCTTGGCTCCCATCTGCTCTGTCTCTGACCTTGTTGCTTCTGCACATCCCACCCTGCCTGTCCCTAGGTGCTGTCCCATAGCTCCTCTTTTAAGCCATTATTTCTGTCTTCCTTCTCCCCTTTGTTGCTGTTTCAGGCTGATTCCAAACCCAGGTGGCATGGGGTGTGGGAGAGCGGGGTGAGGCCAACTCTCTGTCCTCTGCTCATATTTTGGATTCTCTGAGCTTCTGTGGCAGAAGCATGTCTGCACTAGGCAAGTCTTCAGCAAAGATAACATCTGGATTTCAGAAAAGCTCTGCTGAGCATGTGCAAGTGGAAAGCAGTGATTTACAGCTGGGTCAGATCTGACAGAGTTTTCATATGGCCAGCAAGTCCAGGATGATGATCCCAGGCATCAGTCCCCACTAATTTCAGGCCCCTGCATGAAGCACTGAACTTCAGTGAAACCATTGTAAGACATTTTCAGCATAGGCCAACCATCACATTTTTCACCAACATCATTCTTGGAAGTTGCTGACCAACATTCAGTGAAACATTCCCAAAATAAAATTCAGCCCAACACAGAGATCAAGGACAGAAAATTTCAGCCTAGACTGATCAAAATATGAAAAAATTAGAAGCAACTGAAAAACGTATCTTATAATCAAAAGTGTTAGACTGTCTTAAATATAAGATTTGTTGCCATCTCCTCCTATAACAGAAGCTATTTAAATATTCAATTTGAGATAGACTTTCTGGCATGACTGACAAGAATTTTCCTTCCAAACATGAGGCATATGCTCCAGAAAGACATCTGATAAGGAAAACCAGTGGTGACTGTATGCAAACTGTTATGCGATCTGAATTATTTACATTGCTTAGAGTTCACCAGATTCTTCACTGAAGTGTTTCAAAGTCCCAGACTGAACCGACCACTAGTGGATGCATCAGTGAGAGACATGTCAGCTTGACCCACAGTGATTTGCCATCTGTGAAAAGCAAACAAATACAACCAGCCGGAGTAACGAGCATCGTGACTGTAATAGGAACTGGAGCACAGATTTACAGAGGATCTTTGTGTTTGGACTCACGAGCTTTTGACTATGTTAGTATTGAAAAGTAAGCAGCTGCAAACCCCCAGCTATGCAGATCTGTGCAAAAATTGAGCTTTGGCTGTTGACTGCTTGACATTCTACCTGCAAGCCTGGACCAGATGTGCAATTATTTCCTATATTATTTTATTCAGTTTTCAAAAGAAGACAGCAAGGCTTCCAGCAAAGTTTTTAAAGGGAGGGAAGAAGGGAGACAGGGAGACAGGGAATAAGGAAGGGA